GAGAGGCTGGAAGAATTTGGAGGAGGAGGCTAAGAAAAACCTACCTGCTGGTGGGAGTTTAGAAGACAAGAAAACCAGGGAAGGTTTGGAATGTTTTAGAGACTGGTTAAATGGTGGTGATAAGAATGCTATTAGAAATATGGACAATCAAGACCATCCTGAGGAGGTCTCAGGTAGAAATGAGAAAGAGCTTATTGAAAAATGGGGCAAAGATCACCCGTGCTATGAACTGGCAAGGAACCTTGCCTGCATTCTGTTCATGCCCAAAAGTTTTATGGAACGTGGAAACTCAAGGTACTGATTTAAGGTATTTGGCAGAAGAAATTTCTAAGCAGCAAAATATTCAGGAAGGTGCATGGCTACTTGCAACAGCTTACACTGAGTTATGGCAGAAAAAGCATGATGTAAACCCGGAGTTTATAATTAAAAGAGAAGCAGAGTGTAAACACTTCGAAAATTTGCATCCCAGCCATGTGGTAGAGAAGCGGAGAGCATTTTCAGAAGAAAAATACAATGGTGCAGCCCAGTGACTGTTTGCTAAGAAGATTGGTACAGAAGAAAGGGATTATCAAGAAAAGGGAAAAAAGACTTTGAAGGCATTTCAGAGATCTTGGAGGCTGTTTCTTCCATTACAGGCCCAGAGGCCTAGAGAGACAGAATGGTCCTGGGGAACAGGCCTGAGGTGCTCTCCCACAGTCTCACTGCCCAGAGCCACCTTGGGAAGTTGCTCTTTGCACCAGCACCCTGGCTGCTTTGGCTGCTCTGCTGCTCCGCTGCTCCAGCTATGGCTATTTGGCCCCAGATGTGGCTGGACCTGCAGCTTTGGAAGTTACAAGCTGGAAGCCTTGGCAGCATCCATGTCATGTTAGGTCTGCAGGATCACAGAACACTAGAGCTATGGAGGCTTGGAAGCCTTCCCCCAGATTTCAAAGGATGTATGGAAAATGCTGGGGGCCCAGGAAGAGGTCTGTGGCAGGGGCAGAGTCACCACATAGAGTCTTCACTAGAGTGATGCCATGAGGAAACATGAGGTTGTAGTCGCAGCAGAAAAACCCCACCAATGCTATGCATAGCAGAGCCGTGAGAGTGGGACTGCCATGGAGACCCCAGACTTGCAGAGCTACCAGCATGCAATGCCAGCCTGCAAGACCTAAAGCATCACCTGAGACCAAGAAAGCCAGAGAGGTGGAGCTGTGAAAGGACTTGGGGACCCAACCCCCACATCAGCATGCAGAGGACGTTGAACATGGAGTCAAGGTATAGGATTCACCAGCTTTGAGATTTTATGCCTGCCCTGCTGGGTTTTGAACTTGTTTGGGACCTGTCACCTCTTTCTTTTGGCACATACTCCCTTTTATAAAGGGAATATGTACCCTGTGCTTGTCCCACCATTGTATCGTGGAAGCAGATAACTTGTTTTGACTTCACAGATGGGACTTTGAACTTTGGACTATTGAGTTGAACCAAGTTAAGACTCTGGGGATGGAATGAATGTATTTACCAGTGAGAAGGACATAAACTTTGGGGGCCAGGGGCAGAATGATATAGATTAAATTGTGTCCCCCATATTTTATGTATTGAAGCTTAATCCCCATTGTAACTGTTGAGGGTGGCAAATCCTATCATGGTGATTGAAAGGTGGGACTTAAAGAGGTGATTAGATTCTGAGGACCATGCTTTAATGAATGGATTAATAATGGTGGTCATGGGAGTGCTTCTGAGGGCTTTAAAAGAAAAGCATATTAGAATTTCTCTTTCTGCTTCTGCCATGTCACAATGTGATACCGTGTCACAACCAAAAAAGATGCTCACCAGATGTGTTCCCTAGACTTGAAACTAATACAATTTGCTAAAATGGATCAAAAAAGTACAGGTCCATATCTCTTATCTGAAATCCTTGAGGCCGCATCTGTCTTGAGAGGCAGAATATTTTGGATTTTAGGAAGTTAATTCAGTGCACACACTCTATATGACCTTCCCATACCAGTGGAATCTTGGATAGCACCTTTTCCAGGTTCTACAGACTGCCTGCATTCCTTGGCTCATGACCCCTTCCTCCATCTTCATTCAAGCGATGGCTGGTCCAGTCTTTCTCACTCTGCATCACTCTGCCTCTGGCTCTCCTATCTCCCTCTTTTACTTGTAAGGATCCATGTGATTACATCAAACCTACCTGAATAATCTCTCCATCTCAAAATCCCTTTGCTTTGTAAGGTAACATATACACAGGTTTAGGAATTAGAACATGGACATACGTGAGGGTGGGAGGTATTTTTCTACCTACCACAATGTCTAAATTCTTTTTGCATCCCAGTACTTAATGCAGTGCCAGGCACATAGCAGAGGTGTAATAAATGTTTGCTGAGCTTTTATTTTTATCACTTAATGTCCCCCAGTATCAATTTGCTCATCGTTAAAATATGTGTTATGTTAGCAGAGATAAAAATACCTGTTACGAGCTTCACATGAAATAATACATGTGAAAGTGCTCTGAAAGCTATAAAGAACCCTGAAAATGAAGGTCTTATCTCACAAACTAGCAGTAAGGAATACACACATTCATTTGTGAAAGACCTACTATATAAATTAGGAGAGACAGAAGGATACTGAGAGAATTCCATTCAAGTCAACACATCATTATGAAAAAGAGTCAGTTGCTGGAAGATCTAAATCATGTTATCATGTAGCCTTGAGATAGTCCAGTTAGGGACACTACATAATCAAGAATCAAAATTTAAAGGGGCACCATTAATATTTACTATGGGACAAAAGTATGAAACACACTTGTCCAAGCAAATGGAACACATGGCCATGCCAGTGTAGCACAGTGGCTAAGCCTAGGCTCTGGAGCCTCTGTGCAATCTAATCCAGGATCCGCACTTAGAGCTTGTTGACCTGAGACACACGATTTAACTGCTCTCTGCCTTGGTTTTCTCATCTGTAAAATGAGGATAAGAGACCCACTTCACAATGCTGATGTGAAGATCAGATGAGACATTAGACATATAGCATTCAGAACAGCACCTGGCACTAGCAAGAGCTCAATATAAGTCACTCATTCTATGTCAAGGCCAGCCATACACATATCCTCTCAATTCCCACAAGTCCACAGCACAGACTTTCCAGTGTTATCCCACAAACCCAGCCAGCAGGCAAAGGGTTGGCAGAGCTCAGCATCAGTAAAACAAATTTCCAGGAGGGGGTGACAATATTTTTTTAGGTGTGAACTCCCTCACACTCCCACTTCTGCATTCTCATCCTGTTTCCTGAGCTCATTTTAGAACACAAAGCTGCAGTGCCAGCCTAGGATCCTGCAATGCTTTGTTATGAAATCTAGCAAAAATCCTTTGTGATGTTAAATAAAATGTATAGGAGGTCATTGGTTTGGACTGAGATCTTGTACTAGGTCCAACAGTCCAAACCAAAATGGAGTCATTAATGCTAACTTCCAAATCACTAAGACAAAACTAAGTTGTTTATTTGACCTTCCAAGAAATCAGGAGAGAGAAAGCTAACAGGCAAATCCCCAACAGGCCAGTTTTAGCCAGCAGTCCCCTCTGCTTTAACCTTATAAGAAAAGTAACTTTGAAATGACCAATATGCTTTTTGTTCTGCTTCTGCTTTCCTCAGCCTTTTTTTGTCTATAAAACCAACCCTCTCTGCTGGGCCTATTGAAACACTCATTCTATTTTATAGGATGAGGTGTTGCCCAATTCTAGAATCACAAAAGCCAGTTAAGATCTTTAAACTAAATTTGTTGTAATTTTGTCTTTTGTCAGTTGTTAGAGCAGGAGACAGGATGACTGGAAGATTAACTCCCTAAAGTAGCAATCTTTTCCAGTGAATGTGGCTGGGTCCATCTGACAGCAGGGACAATGTTTTACTTTTTATATACTAAAATCATAATGTGTTAACATCATTTTCAAGTGCAAGCTACACAAACACATTCCTGAATATATTTCCTCTTGTCACATTCTGTCCTAAACAAAACCCCAAGTTATTATAGCTCAACAGAAAAAGATTACAAGCACAGACTAAACTACTTTCTGTTGAACTTGGTATAATAATAATGATTATGCTGATTACAAAAATAATAGCTACAGCAATTCATATTTATTCAGTACACACTACATGCCAGGCATTGTTCTAAGCACATTATAGGCATTAAATCTCCAACAATTCTATGAAGTAGGTACTATTATTATCTCCATTTTACAGATGAGAAAAATGAGGCACGGAGCGGTTAAATCATCTGCCCATGATCTACATATCCAGTAAGTGGTGGAGGCTGGATTAAACCCAGATAGTCTGGCTTGAGTGCACACTTAAATACAAACTCTGCTCTGTCTCCTGTTGGAAAGCAAAGAGACTTCCTCTTGAACATCAGGAGCCACCCTGGGATACTGCATAAGTCCTTCATTTGTGCCTCTGCAGTGCCTTCTGTGTGGTATGCTTGTGTCTCCTCTGTCTACCTGGCAAATTCCTACCCACCTTTCATTGCTCTGCTGTCTTTTGGCCTTTGCTGCATTACTGGGCACACTGCAGGCACTCCATGCAAACAGCAAAATTTCAGTATGGCAGTTATTCAGTAACTTAAATTTTGCTAAGGTTCTGGTATTTAAACAGTATTAGCCTTATGAAGGGATTCAAAGCAGATTTTCTTTTCAGATAAGCTTTCTGAGTTAATTTAAGACATGATTTGATTTACAAAATTATGATTTGCATTTACCTAAGACTGCATTATATACAATGATACACACATGTATTTCTACTAATTTTGAGCAGGGCTGCACCACATAGCTTTACTTAAATTAATCTCATGCATCCTTTTAGAGAGGTAAGCTGTTCTTTTTCTTCAATTCAGTTTACTAAAGCTACATAGACTTTGAGCAACTGATGCAGCAGAACCATCTGACTCTTACAATGCAACAAGTCCCCCACAACATGGAAGAAGCCAAGACAAGAAAATCACCCAGGTGTTCTCGCTCCAGCCACCTTACTTGTTAATGTTGCTGCCTTCTTTCAGTCGCTCTCCCGCAGCTCCTGTTTTAGATACTCTTTCGCTACCCGCCAGGTCTACCAAGCTGACCTTACTGACTTTCTCTCCCGAGTTCTAGATGTAGGAAACAAGAGAGAAACAACACATGTTAATGTAAAGACCACATGGATATCTACATATATGTCAGCACTATAATTGAGTGTAACTGGAGCATCCATCACACTCCAACATGGCAAACTTCTCAAGATTTTAAAAGGTCAGAAAAGTTATTTGAACTATCAATTTCATAATCAAAATTTAAATTGGTGTGAAAATGTAGCACTTTGGGCCGGCCCGGTGGCGCACTGCTACAGTGCGCCGCTTGGGAGCGCGGCGGCGCTCCCAACGAGGGTTCGGATCCCACATACAGACCAGTTCCCGCTCATTGGCTGAGCGAGGTGCGGGCACAGCACCGAGGGTTGTGATCCCGTTGCCGGTCCTGGTGCGGTACGGGCGCGACACTGAGGGTTGCGATCCGTTGCCGGCCACGAAAAAAAAAAAAAAAAAGAAAATGTAGCACTTTGTTTTGCAGCTTGGTAGAAAGTACACCCAGCTTTCCAGAATATAGCAAGGAAGCTGGGGATTTTATGTGCATCTGAGGAAATATTAGAACATGAGGATTCCTGCACATTCAGGTCAAATCCCTCTTATTTTGAAAAGTGTTCTTTAGGCTAAATGTTGTTGTTTCCTCTTTAATATACCTCAATGACTATGAAGTAGACTTAGTTGATTTAAGAGGAATTTCAGTATGAAAGGATACATAGTAAAGCTGTATAGTAACGTCACCATATTCTTCAGGAAGTTTACACAAGAAATCCAATTTTTAAAGAAAATTACCTAAAAAGGAAGACTTAACAAATTAAATGATTTGGGCCGGCCCGTGGCTCACTTGGGAGAGTGTGGTGCTGATAACACCAAGGCCCCGGGTTCGGATCCCACATAGGGATGGACGGTTGGCTCAATGGCTGAGCGTGGTGCTGACAACACCAAGTCAAGGGTTAAGATCCCCTTACCGGTCATCTTTTTTTTAAAAAAAAAAAAACAAATTAAATGATTTAAGCAAAGCGGCTCATGTACTAAGTAGAAGAGCCAACATAAAATTCTCAGCCACTGAATCCAGCCATTAAACACTTCCCCATGTAGACATTTCTGAGTTCTCCCACTGCCACCAAAGGTCCTGCCAATCCCTCACCCCAGACTGCAGGTCATAGAGCGTCTGTGTGATGATGATGTTGAACACGGCATGGGAGCGGCTGCTTTCTTCATTCATGTTGGTTGCAGCTACCGTTCGAGACTTATTTCCCTCAGACATCAATGACTCAATATCCTGGAGGCAAAGAGTAAGGAAAACACGATAGCCAAAACATGAGGCCACAGTCCTAAACACCAGACATATGTATTAATTATGATCCCTCTGACGCCTTCATCACCACCCTTCCATAAAAACCTCCCTGCTTGGTTTGAGCATCCACCTCCCTCAGAGCTTCTTAGTGTATGAGATGTTTCCCCCATTCTTCTTTTCAACCCCAATTGTTTTCTTTCTCTGTGAAGTCCCTGTTTTTTCTTTTGCAAATTCCTTGGAGAATGACTACACATTTACTGAGCACTCTGCACACTCAATAACAGTAGTTACCTAATTTACTTCTAATTCTCTTCTGCGTATCAACCCAGTATTGCCTGCTTATTCGCCTTCCTCCTCAACACTGTGGCTCTCCAAGGGCAGGAGATTTTCCTTATTCATCTTTGCACACTTGCTTCTAGAATACCTGGAACCTATGGGCTCTTATAAGATGTTTGCCGAATATACCTTATGAAAGATGTATTTTCCTGATTTTACACAAAAGGACACTGAAGTTCATGTACTTTCCCCACATCTAGTAAGAGGAAGAGCGGAGATGCAAATCAAGAGCTCCCTGGCTCTTGCTGGTAAGTGAAAGGATAATATAGATACTAACCTCAACTACTGTGAGCTAAGAACCAGGCACCTTAGCGAAGTTGCTGACTTAACACCTGTAGAACGGAAAGGTTTCCATTCATTTTAGAATCTAAATGTTTTTAAAGGGATGGATGTGTCCTCTTTCTAATTTGAGCAATAATACTATATATGTCTTCATTTAAATGGCTGTAGAGAGTTACCTCACGTTGCTGTCTGAAATGATAATGGTTCTACCACATCCCATAGAGAGCACAAGTACAGAGATTCCTTCGTTCATTCATACATTCACATTCTTCAGCAACAGAGATAGCAGTTTGTATTATGAAATTTCAAAAGCAACGACTGTAGAATAAGGGCAGAACACTGATTCAGACCTTAACAAGGCACGTTTCCTACTCCTTAAAAGTCAAGGAGTAGGAAAAAGAAAACAGGTCAGTCGGTGGAGAGAGGAGTGATTCAGAAAAACAGAAGAACCAGAAGAGTGATAAGTGATAGAAACAAAAGCAGGAGACCCTGTCAAAAAGAAGGGGTTGAATGAACTACCAAAAAGTCTTTAGACTACCACACTTGTCTATAAGGATATCACCGGTCACCTTAGGAAGAACAGTTTCAACAGAATGGTATTAGTGAAAATATTCAGCCTCAAAAACACTGGGCCTTTCAGCCACACTATAAAACCTTCACAACAAAGCAGCTTGAAGAATGTGATTAAAAGCACTTTCTCCCTGGTTGGGGTGTGCTGATACCGGGTTTCTGAGGAATGAATAGGATCAATATGTTGTAAGGCATCCACATAAAACTATATTCAATATCACTTACACACTCTTATTTATAGCCAAGGTTGTTTTTTTTTTAAACACGATTTTAAAAAATAACTTACCTCAAAACTAGTGACAGCCAGCTGAGATAAACCATCTACATACGGTCCCAAAACTTTATGCTCTCGAACTTTAAGAGACTGTCTACTCCTTTGGGAGGGAGGAAAAAGGAATTAATGAATTAGACCAAACTCAGAAGCTTTTCTTCCTAAGTACTCAGTAACACTGCGATTTCAAAAGAATTTTTTTAATGATCCAAAACAAAAAAATTCCAAAAGCTACTTTATTTGGATTAGCAAAACAGCATTCCACATGAGGAATGTCTTTTATACTTTGATTTCTATTTAAAGTAACTTGTTATTTAAAAAATTCTATCTCTAGTCCCAAACTAAACAATCAGCACACAGAATACTAGATTAGGCAAATTTGTTTTAGTATAGGAACTTCAGTTTCACATGTGTAGGGGCGTGGCAAAAGTGAGGCCGAGAATATGTCAGATCAAATTTAACCTCAAGGCTATTATTCTAAGTAAGCATATTCTTAGTAAATAATGTCTTAAAGTGTTTGAACAAGTACTGAACAATATTAAAATGCTTTACCTTTAATTTACTTCTTCAAGTATGCATTGGTTTATGTTGCTTCTATGCTTATAATTTTATGCAGAAAGTGAGATTATAATGTAGTAATTGTAGTTACTGATATTTTTCTTCTTTTCAGAACTGTCTCTGCTGGTGAAGATTTTTGGGCTCTTTTGAATTTTCAAATGGTAAACTTGGTTTGGGACTCATTTGAACAACTTTCAATAGACAACTGAGATTAAAAGCAAAGCTTTATGTATTTTGACATATTATGTATGTCAACTTTTTCGTGGCACCGCATATTAGTCATCTTTCAAATTCAGAATCAGGGCTTAGTATCACTTAAATGTGGAAAAACAGAATTAAGAATCACTGAGTACTTCCCAAAGTCTTGGCATTGCTCTCTAAGCACTTTCCAGTTCATTTAATCTACAACACCCCTAACAAAGTAGGTTTACTAACTTTCTGTTAAGGATGAGGAATTCGATGTGACAATGAACAATGTGGCTATATCCTAAAAAGGGGCAGATCACAATGCGCATTTTCAAGAGAGCTACTTGGATGTACACAATTCAGCACTCTGCCCACTCTGCTCGCACAACCAGAGATTCTGTGATGCTATGCAGCAGCAAGAAAAAGTATATCAAGTACGATATCAAGTGACTGTGATGGTGTCTAACATCTGGACTTCTTGTACCCTGCTGTTAGGAGTATAAAATGGTACAACCACCTTGGAAAAGTTTGTCAGCAGCAAGAAAAAGTATATCAAGTACGATATCAAGTGACTGTGATGGTGTCTAACACCTGGACTTCTTGTACCCTGCTGTTAGGAGTATAAAATGGTACAACCACCTTGGAAAAGTTTGCAATACTCAGTAAAGTCAGAGATTCAGTATCTTGTGATTCACGATTCCATCCCTAGATGTATTCCCTAGAAACTACTGCACCTATACACCAGAAACCTCTACAAGAATGCTCAGAGCAGCACCATAAATAGAAAAATCAGAAACCACAGAAGTGACAGAGGAAGGGATAAATTATGGTATAATCATACAAAGGAATACTAAACAGAAATAAAAATTAAGGCATTATTACTCCATATTTAAGAATGAATGAAAAAAATCACCAAAGAACACGTATATGAGGGGGTCTTCGTGGTAAGACTGGCATTACCTTTTAAATCCATTTTTCCACAAAGTTTTAAAATTTCCCTCGTATTATGATGCCACTTACACAAAGTTAAAAATTGTGCCAAATTATGTGTAAATGCTAAAGAAGAGGAAGAAAATGATAAAAACAAAATTCATAATAGTAGTTACCATAGGGAGGGGTAGGAAATGGAATGGGATCCAAGAGAAACATACAGGGGGTTTCAAAATTATTGGTCATGTCCGTTTATTATTAAGCCAAGTGGTGAGTCGGCAGTTGTTTACTTTATTATTCTTTATACCTTACAAGTGTTATAGATGTTCTTTCATACACATTAAATAGTTAATAACTCCTTAAAGTAAATATATGGGGCCGGCCCGGTGGCGCACTGGATGGTGCACTGCTTGGGAAGCGCGGCGGCGCTCCCGCCCGAGGGTTCGGATCCCACATACGGACCGGTTCCTGCTCACTGGCTGAGCGAGGCGCGGGAGCAGCACCGAGGGTTGCAATCCCGTTGCTGGTCCCCGGTCCGGTATGGGGGCAACACTGAGGGTTGCAATCCGTTGCCGGACACGGAAAAAGACAAAAAAGACAAAACAAACAAACAAACAAACAAAAAAAAGTAAATATATGATTTCCTATGACTGGGTCACTTCCTTGCCACCCATAATTTCCATCTGATACCCTTGATTTCATCTAAGTTCTTATGGACTTTGTTACATATTACACAGCTGCTGAAAGAATTTCAAAGTAATTTTTAATGACACAAGAAAGCGTTATGTTACATGGAAAATTAAGGATACGAAATTGTATTTACAGAATGACCTCAAAATGCACAAACACACTCAAAACACAGATCAGAAACCCTGGATCAAATTGCACCAAGGTATTAACAGTGGTTATTTTTGACTGGTGGGATTATAGGTCATTTTTATTTCTTCTTACACTGTATTTTCTAAATTTTCTATAAATATATTATTTTTAAATCAGTACATTTTTTTTTGTCCTTTTTTTTGAGACCGGCCGCGCCGCACTGCGCTCAGCCAGTGAGCGCTGTGAGCGCACTGGTCATCCCTGTATAGGATCTGAACCCGCGGCGGGAGCGCTGCTGCGCTCCCAGCGCCGCACTCTCACAAGTGCGCCATGGGCTCGACCCAAATCAGTACATTTTTTTAATTAAAAAAAAGTAAATGGCCCTCCTTTCTCTATGAGTCAAACTCATTTAGTTTTTTATCACCTAGATTTAAAAAAAATACAGATGCTTGGGTTTCACCCTGGGTCTACTATATCACAGCACAAGTGCGCCATGGGCTCGACCCAAATCAGTACATTTTTTTAATTAAAAAAAAGTAAATGGCCCTCCTTTCTCTATGAGTCAAACTCATTTAGTTTTTTATCACCTAGATTTAAAAAAAATACAGATGCTTGGGTTTCACCCTGGGTCTACTATATCACAGTTTCTATGGGTGAGGCTCAGGCCAGTGGATGCTTAAAAAGCTCCCCGCATGATTCCAATGCACAGGTAGGGAAGGGAATTACTTGCCTAGGCTGGGTGGTTTCAATCCTTCAACCACTTTACCTTCAATTTAAAGGTGCTGTTTTCCAATATAAATGGAAGGATCAATATCACATTTGTAACTAAGTTTTTATGAATACTCCACGGTATCAAAAAATAATACCAATAGTAAAAACATCTTTTCAAATGGCATATATAAGCAACTTTACACATGAATACAGGATAAACTATATGTATACTAGGTATCAACAGAGTTCGAGAAGCTGATGATTTCTCAGTAAATGAATTAAAACCAGAGTAGTGACCAAGGGCTCAAGTACATATATTCCCTTGCAATTTTAACTTGAAAATCATTCAAAATTATTATCCTTATTTACAAGGTTAATTTCAATCATCAACTTACCCTTTGGGGTCTAAAAGATCCCGAACTTTCTCATTATAAATTTCCATATAGGAGACTTCGACTTTAAAGGTCTGTGACTCATTTTGCTCTGAAGAGATCCTTTTAAACAAAGCACAGCAGAGCCTTGGAATAAGGCCCAGCTGCTCAGCATGGCCCATCATGGAGAAGGATTTTCCTGAACCTGAAGAACAAGCAGAAAGAAGGAAGAGTAGAAGAGGAAGCAAAATGTAATGCTTCAACCATGCAAGCTTTTTGTGCGTATCAGCCAGGGTCACAAGCAGAAGAATGGCAAACTTGGTCTCAAACCCAGGACCCTGTATACCAAGTCTGCTGCTCTTTCCATTACACTCACAGCCTCTGGTTTAACTCTCACCGGGAGATCCAGAGGGAACCGCATTTATAGTTGGAGGTGTATAAATGCAACCACTAAAAATAGATAATCTTTAAAAGTATTCATAGTAAAATTCCAACTGTTCGTTATTAAGTGACATTGACTGTATTTACTGTTACATATATCATACTATGTTATACATTTTCTCTCGTCTTAGTCTCCTAGTTATACTATGATGTGATATCTGGCAGCACTGTTATGATGTAATTGTTTGTTCCTACTTTATAGTTGAAAAAACAGTGGCTCAAGAGTACTAATGACTGAGCCACCAGTATGTTTTTATTTTACTGTTTCAACCAACTGCTCCAAAACCCTACATTTCATAACCTATTATCACTTTTGTGTCCTAGTGAAAGTCCTCAGTATAGAATGATACTAGGAGTTTTTCTATAGTTTTTACTATCATATTTATATTGAGAAACAGGTAATTATTTTTCTAGTTCAAATACAAGTTAAAACTATAATTTCAGAAAATGACACTTAATAGTCTGAAACTAGCTTTGCTCATTAACACTGAAATTACTCAATTACCAAAACTGTTGCACCTTCAAAAGGAGGATTACTTTTGATCACTTAATTCAGTTAAACCCACAAAGTCAGAGGCATTTTTCTGTTGCTTCTAAAGTTTTTTCTATTTTTTTTTCCTTTTTGTCTTTTTTACTGACCGGTAACGGGATTGCAACCCTCGGTGTTGCGCCCGTACCGGGGACTGGCAACGGGATCGCAACCCTCGGTGTTGCGCCCGCACCGTGCTCAGCCAGTGAGCGGGAACCGGTCTCCACATGGGATCCGAACCCTCGGCGGGAGTGCCGCCGCATTCCTAAGCGCCACACTCTCCAGTGCGCCACCGGGCCGGCCCAAGTTTTTTCTATTTTTAAGTGTTAAGAAATGCATATTTAATATAATTGGCTGTAAATAAAAGCAACTTCTTACCTGTTTGTCCATAGGCAAAAATACAAGCATTATACCCTTGAAAGGCTTTTTCAAGAATTCCTTCCCCAAGGCACTTGAAAACCACTTCTTGACCTAAAAATCAATACAAACAAAAATTTAAAACTAAAAGAATGATTTTTCTTGGTGTACTTTTATTAATAACATTATCTCAATTTTTTAAAATGTTAAATGTGTACAGAGTGCCTACTATGTATAGGGCTGTGTATTAAGAGCTTAATATATGCAATTTCATTTGTACTTCCAAGCTATAGCTCAGTACCTGCATAAATTTATAATTCCACATATTATTTCCCTCTATGACCGTTCTCTAGGCATCAAAGTTTCCTTTCCATCATCAGTGGGCCATATGGAAGCATCATACAAATTTCGTTTAGATTCTTCTTATGACTTAGTACCTAAAATGTCATTAAACATGAATTGGCTTATCTCCTCATCTGAATTTGGAGTTTCCGATGAGCAAGAACCATGTCATACACATCTTGGTATCCCCTCAGCACCTGGCATGGTTTTGTACATGCTAAGTGCTAAAAAATGTTTTGCTGCTGATGGAGTGATGACTTAAGCTGCTGTTTGTAGATTTGCAGGCACCCCTGGCGTGTGCTCCCACACGGGATGTGGGGACAGTCCTCTTAAGTGAATCTCTCCACATAATCCTGCAGCTCTTGGGGGTATTCTGTCATGTACTATACTATGGTAGAGCTGGGCCGAAGAATAAAGATGAGACAATCTTTTTAAACATGTAAGGCATCTTTTACTACCCTTGGAAATAGGTGGCTTTCTAACATTCATTCCCCACCAATAAGAGAATTAAAATTATATTCTCCTTATTCTGTGCTTTTACAGTGCTTAGAACATTTACTATTAAAGCATCTGCAGAAACTGATTTAAATGCCTGTTTTTTTCAATGGAATGAGAGACCCCTCATGTCAGAGACTATAAGCTCTTTACTTTGTAATCCTAGTGCCTAGTACAAAATGCTTAATACAGGTTGAGCATCCCTAATCTGAAAAGCTCCAAAATCTAAAACTTTTTGAGCATCAACATGATATTCAAAGGAAATGCTCATTAAAGCATTTTGGATTTCAGGTTTTTGGATTAGGGATGCTCAACTAGGTATGTATTCTGCAAATATTCTGAAATCCCAAAAAAACTCCGGAACACTTCTGGTCTGAAGCATTTTGGATATGAGATACTCAACCTGTAAATGTTTGTTACAAGAATGAGTCAGCTTAACCTTTTTACATGACAGTTCCTCTTACATTTGAAAATAATGTAACAAACATAAGTTTCTGGTTGTATGTTTTCTTTTTAGGCAAATTTGAATCTGATTTTAGCAGACCCTTGTTATACTATGAAATATCATCACTGCAGAATGGGACTCTTAAAAGTGTGTCAACATGAAACAAGAGGTAATATTTTCAACCATTAGGTTGGCAAAAAATAAAATTTTGACAATATCAAATATTGCTGGGATGAGGAATAGGTATTTCAGAAACTGCTGATGGGAGAATAAATGGACACAGCCATTCAGAAGGAACATCTGACAGCACGTATAAAAGGCAATATGCTCACATTCTCTGACCCACTGTGAGACATCTTCCCTAAAGACACTCTCCCACAAAAGGCCCTGTCCAAGGATGTTCATGGCAGCATTATTTATGACGCTGTAAATTGGAATGAAGTTAAATGCCCATTAGTATAGGAGTGGATAAGTGACTGTTTTATATGGTGAAGTACTACACAACATTTAAAAAAAACCCAAATAAACAAAACACATCTAGAATAAACAATGCTAGAATTTAAAAATATTGAGTAGAAAAAAAGCTGTTCAGAACTGTACTTCAAAAAATTCAAGGAAAAATGGAGTTGAAAGATAAGATGAATCTTTCCATGATCTCTTTGAAGACTTCTTAGATATGTAATGTAAAAAGTTATGTCAAATAATGTGTGTGTGTGTGTAAGGGGGGGGGAGAGAGGGGGAGAGGAGAGAGAGAGAGATATCGAACTATGGATGCTAAAGTATAAAAACTGGATTGGAAAAAAAATACCAAATTTACATAACCTTATTCCTAACTTTTACCATCTAGCACAGAGTCTGGTACCTAAGAGATATTCAAAACGTGTTCGTGGAACATGTGGAGTTTTTAAATGGCTGTAGGGGCCGGCCCGGTGGCGCACTGCTACAGTGCGCCGCTTGGGAGTGCGGTGGCACTCCCGCCGAGGGGTCGGATCCCACATACAGACCG